AAGCATAGTAACATAGCCACTCACCTCGTGCAAAATTCATTTTGTGAGGGCTTGAATGCCAACCCCTTCTCCATTTCCCCTCCTCAGTTGTGCTTGTAACAAGTAGCATATTTAAAAAATAAAAAAAAAATAATAAAAGAAGGAGGAGGAGGAGGAGGAGGAGGGGGAGGAGGAGGAGTTTCTAAGGATATCGGTGTTTAAATCCATAGTTATGTAATTTCTAAGAAGGAAAAAACACTAAGTTGGTTGAAATCAGGATTTTGTAATGTAGTAAGAACGTTATACTACATTATGCTATGATTTTAGATTTTCTTATTTTTTATTGTAAAAGTATATAAAATGTTAATTAAAATTAATTAATTATAATAAATTTACACTTTTAAATACATTACTAAATTTTGTCAATTTACATTATCAGGATTGAGTAGACTTCTTTTTTACAATAAGGTACATGTTTTTTTTGGTTTGATAGGGATTTGGCATCAAGACCAAATTAGGACTGCTTTACGGTGATCATCCTAGGAGAGTTGAGAAGGCGATAGGCACCATAACCTTTAGGAAATCCACATCCCAATTTGCTCGGGATATCCTTGACGGCGCTGCTGTCGTCTATCGCCAACAAGACCTTGCAAAACGAATCAACATTGCACGGTAGCACCAGGGGACCTCCGCTATTAAACCCATATTCGGTCTCTGCTTCTTCCAACAGGACCTTGAACAGAGAGTGATTCACATACTCTGTTTTTATTACGAACCTCTGTTTCTCCGGCCCTACATAAACCGAGAAGCACCCTTTTTCAGTAGCCACTCGACGACTCGTAGGCTGTTTCCGAACACAATCTTCTGAATCGCCTGCGGCATCGGTTATCATTGACCATGATTTGCTCTTCTTCATCAGAGCACGTACAGTTCCCGACGAGGAACTCATCCGGCCACGGCCTACAGATTTGCATCGTTCCCATGTCTTGGTGATCAAATTGTTTGATGTTTTGCCTTTTTCTTTGCTGGCTTCCATTCTATACAAGAAACTTTCTAGAGAAAACAAAGCTGGATTACTAGTCAGAGAATTGCTCTTTCTAGTTAGTGTTCTCAGGGGAGAAATGTTGAGGGAACACAACTTTATGGTGTGATATATAAAGGGCAACAGGGGGCGTGCAGCACATCGTCATTAAGTCTCTAACCCACTTGCCAATGGCGTGAAAGAGGCAAGTTGCAGGTTGAATTAATTCATGGACAAATAGAAAGGGACAAGAGAGTCTACTCTTGAATTTTGTCATTGTTTTCCTTTCGTGAGAAAGTGATCTTGCTGATGGTTAGAGAAGCACTCAAACGTTAATTCAACTTTCAAGGTCCACCTTTCTCAAGTTCACATCTCTCCAAACAAAGTCTCTTTAAATGATCAAATTTTTGTGATAAGCAATTGTTGATGGCAAACCATCTTGTCAAAATAATAAAGTCGCTTCTGAAACTGTTAGTGAGAAAAATAATTTTTTTCCTTTTAATTTCTTAATCACGTTTCTTGGAAAATAACTAGTTTCTATAGCGAAACTCACGCGGCAGGTGCAATAACATAGTTGCTTGCCTTGTGTGGAATTCACTTGGTGAGGGCTTGAACACTAACCCCTTCCCCATTTCGCCTTCTCCTTAGTTGTATTTGTAACAAATTGCTTATTTTACAAAAAGAGAAAAAAAGTTCCTAAGGCGATCGCTTTTTAAATCTATAATTATGTAATTTCGAAGAAAAAACAACAAATTGGTTGAAATTGACATTTTGTGATGTATGCTTAGTTTGGGAATGATATGTTGCATTGTGATATGATATTTTAGATTTTTTGATTTTTTCTTATTGTATATTTAAGTTGAAGGAAATGGATAGATAAAAAGAAAAAGATTTTTTTTATTAATCAAATTACAAAATTTAAAAATATTTATTTTAAAATTTTATAAAATATTAATTAAATTTACTAAATATAAAATATTAATTAAAATTAATTATTTACAGTAAATTTATATTTTTAGATACACTATTATAAGAATAAGCGTTGTTTAAAGCACAGCCCCATTCTAATGAATATAGCAAACCCAACTCAATATTCTGTAGCATGAGCTCCGTTAAAGACATATCCTGTATGAGACAAATTATCTATTTTATCTCATCAATCCATCCTTTCTCCTTATCTATGAATACAACTCTTATCACAATTAATATATGAACAAATACCAACGATTTAAGTAACTCAGTGGTTATCTTTTTCTACTAGAAGTAAGAGATTCTGAATTCGAATCTCATAATATGCAGGTGAAATGAGATAAGAGATATGAGATGGTTATTTTTTATTGTACAACCAAAATAAAATTATATATATATGAACAAATTAGTGTATCACAAAAACACAAATTGATAATTGAACTAAAGTACAAATTTTAAATTTTTAAAAAGCCAATAGAGTTTAGAACTGAGATATCAAAATTTGATCATGGATGAAGGATATGAAGACTGAGTAGATTTTTTTTTTATCAACGAAATATCATATTTTATTTTATTTTATTATATATATATATATATATTATAGGAAGAACAACAAATATTCTAATTTATACAACTTAAAAGGTTAAAAACTCACAAATAAAATATGTACAACTAAACCTTAATAAATAATCAACCACCCCAATCAGGCACAGCTTCTAAATGCATCACACGTTCGTTCCTTGCTTGGCTCGTGCACAATACGGTAGATTTCTTATTTACAATAATACAACTCTTATTTACAATAAGGTACATGTTTGATTAAATAGGGATTTGGCATCAAGACCAAATTAGAACTGCTTTATGGTGATCCTTCTTGGAGGGTTGATAAGGCCATAGGCACCATAACCTTTAGGAAATCCACATCCCAATTTGCTCGGGATATCCTGGACAGCGCCGCTGTCATCTATGACCAACAACACCTTGCAAAACGAATCAACATTGCATGGTAGCACCAGAGGACCTCTGCTATTAAACCCGTATTCTGTCTCTGCTTCTTCCAACAGGGCCTTGAACAGAGGATGGTTCACAGACTCTGTTTTTATCACGAACCTCTGTTTCTCTGGCCCCACGTAAACTGAGAAACGCCCTTTTACTACTAGAAAACAAAGTATATTTGACAGGCAATATTATCGATTATAGGAAGAATTTTGTTGATTATAAGTATGATTGATAGACATAATCGACAGCCAAATTTATCAAATAAATAAGAGTCGAAAATAATATAATCGACAAAAATGTATTCTTGACAGCATTTCTGTCGATTATACTAATATAATCAACCGCTTTTGCTATCGATTATACTTGTTCCAGCAATAAAAAAAAATTAAAAATTAAAAATTGTAGAATTAAATTTTTAATTTTGTAGTTGTTAATTACATTATAAAGTCATTAAACAAAATTCAATGAAAAAATCAATCAAGTGCAACAACAATATATATATATATAATTTTGAGAATAATTGAAAAACAAGATTAATATTAAAAAATTATGAGAATTAATGGAAAAATAAGATAAATGATAAGTAATTTACCTATAATAAAGTAAAAATACTTGTAAAAGGGAAAGGAAAAAGCATTATTGTACATTATAAAATTTTATTTAAGTAAAAGGAAATGAAAAATATAAATTAAAATGTGAATTTATCTCATAAAATGATTTTAAGCTTAATAATCTGCAAAAATGAAAAAAAAAATTATTAGTAGATCAAATAAAAATAATTGGATGATAAATGAAAATTTTAAAAATTAAATAAATAAAAGAAAATAAAAAGCTTGAGATGAAAGAATGAAAGAAAATGAGGGAAAAGCATAAGGATGGCAACCAAAAATGACAATAGGAAAGGTAGAAGGAATGATGAAAGAATAGTAGAAACAAGAGGGAAAGATGAAGACACATAATGCAGGAATTAGAAAGGTAGAAGGAAAGGGAGAAGAAGAAAGAAGAAATAAAAATAAAAATGAAAGGGAGAAGAAGAAGATGACGATGATAAGAGCAAAGGGGGAAGGGAAACGAGCTGAAACATTTGTGGGAAAGGAAGGAAAGGGGAGAAGTAGGAGAAAATGAGAAGTTATTTGCTGATTATGTTTTTGTGTGAGTATATATAACACAATCTTCTGAATCTCCGGTGGCATCCGTTATCAGTGACCATGATTTGCTCTTCTTCATCAGAGCACGTACGGTTTCCGACGAGGAACTCATCGGGCCACGGCCTAGAGATTTGCATCTTTCCCATGTCTTGGTGATCAAGTTGTTTGATATTTTGCCTTTTTCTTTGCTCCCTTCCATTCTCACTACCAAAAAAAAAAACGAAAATAGATCACATTTAACTATTAAGTTATTGACCACTAAACTTTTATTTTTAGTTATAAAATAGAATTAGTTATAAAATTTAAATAGTTAGAAAAACCCTTATAACTATTACTCTTAGTGACAAATTTGGTACAAATCATAGAAAAAAATTTTACTATAACAAAAAATATTAACATTATGAATGAGTTATTTGTAACAATTTTATTCATCATAAAAAACATTTTTTGTTATAAAAATTTTTGTTACAAAAATTATAACTGCGTGACAAAAAAAGAAAAACACACAAATGCAATTGAGTAGCTCTTATGAAATATTTAGTTATTAATCATTTAAACTGATATTAAACCAAAAGGGATATTTATGTAATTACAACATATATTTGTGATGAAAAATCTCTTCACAAAAATGGTTAATACAAACAACAATGAATGAGTTTTGTCACAAAAGTTTTATTTCAAAATAAAAAGGTAAAAAAAAAAAACTTTCCTCTAATCTTGCGGTTGAAATTAATTTTTCAATTAAAAAAATGCATCTATCAAATTTATAACAAAAATACCTTAAAGATAATTAATTTTTTAATAAAAATTTGCTAAGTTTTTAAATTTTTAACAGTAAAGGAAATATTAAAGTAAAATGATTAATTGATAATTTTAATAATACTAAGTTATTACAAAATAAAATTAATTAAAAATACAGCCAAGAAAAATAATGAAATACAAAAAAAAAAAAAAAAAACAAATAAAATACAAGTGACAATATGCTTGCTAGTCATGTCCACTTCCTTTTCTCTAGTGAAGGATAAAAAAAACATACTAAAAGCAAATTGCAGCATGTGCTATATGCCCATTCTTGTGTTTTCTTTCATGTGGGTTTGGAGGAAGCCAATGCTTGTGCACCTTCTCTCTCGATCGTTTCTTTGCCAAAACCTCCTGCCATCTGTTCATCGTATTAGCTAAGATTAATTTTAAAATCTTTAAGTTATCAAATGAAAATAAAAAATTATCTGTATATATGCTGAAAAAATATAGTTGAAAAATGGACACGAAGGATTTGAAATGGAAAAGAAAAAATAAAAAGAATATGAAAAGGGTAAAACTTTATTTTTTTTTATTAGCAAAGAAAAGTGAATTCATTTTCTTAAGGGAGTATGAAATCATACAAAGGACACTCCAATGACTCAATGTATTTGCATTAGTGCAATTGTTCTCCTCTCTTATATAACAAATTCAATGAAATCATTTCCACAATTGAACTTCCATCTTAGATTCTAGTCCCTCATCTTAGGTTCAAAAATTAAATAACCAAAAAGAATAAATCAGTGCTGAAAAAATTCCATCTCCAAATCATATTTGAAACACCAATTCAAACCATATCACCATGCAGTTTAAATGTAAATTGAAGCAGTTACGAAATATAAACCAATATAATGACTTGAATATGCTAAAACTCATTCTGGTAATTAATTGAGAATGGTTATCTGCACTCATAGAGGGTAGACAATTGGTTGATGGAGTGGTTGTGGCGAATGAAACAATTGATGGGGTGAGGAAAAAGAAGTCCCAATGCTTTGTTTTCAAAATTGACTTCAAAAAGGCATATGATAAGGTGAGTTGGCTTTTTCTAGATTACATGATGGAGAAAATGGGCTTTGATGTAGTGTGGAGAGGGTGGATATTTGAATGTTTGAAGTCCAACACCGTATCTGTTTTAGTAAATGGAAGCGTTACCAAGGAGTTCTCAATGTCTAGAGGACTTCGTCAAGGGGATCC